CCTTGACTTCCTACTTTAGCATTCCAATCCCCTATGATGAAAAGGACATCTTTTTTTGGTGCATATATTATAGAGCAACAATTCCTTATTCATGATGTGTCTACCCATTAGGAAGCTCTGGTTAACCCTGGCTCTCCTACAGAATATAATAACATAAACCTCACATTTGCAATGTATTTGCGATTATATGTGCACCTTACAAATGCAAGGCGTGAATCAATATTTAATCACAACCAGGGGAAAATAACTGACAGGCTTACTAATTCCCCGTCACTGTCATTCTAACAAGTAGAACAACAACGAATTATCAGTCCAGTCTTTTACATGGAAAATAATTATTTATGAAGCTGCTATTGGCAGTGATTTAATCTAAAATTTCAGCTAGCTTTTCCACTGCTAGCATCTTAAGTCTATTGCTCTGCTTTCTTTCATAATCAGTAAACAGCAACACTTGTATCTGAGAAAAACAAAACACACTGGTTAGTAAGGGGCCCTTCACTAAATACGGCTTGCTTTCCTCCACAAAACTCGTCACAGCTATTTACCAGTTATCTGCACATGTAAGTACATGCACAGGTAATACTTCTGGTAAAGCAAAGTGGTCATGCCTTTGAATGTTTTGCACAACCTGATTAACAGAACCAGGGCACTTAATGTGTGGCTCTGGACAAATAAAACTGAGCTGAGAGTAGCACCACCAACTCAAGTAGCAGGGATGTATTCATAGCTAAATGAATAATCATGATACTCGGGCAATGTTTTCCTGCTATAGGCAGGCCATCCTACGTGAGAAGATCATTATGTGCAAATGGATAAGGGTGTTCATCCAAGCAGTCCAATATTGCTTATTCTGTCAGGTATCATTGAGGGTCTCAGGTTGACAAATCCCACCTACACCCCCACTCTTTTAATGAGAGATACTTAGCACTAAACTGGAGACCTTCTGCTCTGGTTTCAACACACACTGGACTATGTGGCTACCCAGGCAGTAAATAAATATTCCATCCACACTTTGAAAGACATTTCTTTTTGTTCCTTATTCAAAATTTAGTTATTAAGAATTACTGACTCCTCAATGTTAAAAAAAAATAGATCCCAGATTGGTACCGCAACTTGGAAAGCTCACTAATGATCAAAAACTTGGCTGCAGAAGAAGGATGAACAGAAGGGCTGAAGCAGGCTGAGAAAAAAGGAATGGTAGATAAATGAAAAAGCTTTGTAAGGCCTTTCAGGCAGCAACTCCAGACAGCAGCAGAAATCCAGATGAGAAGGGGTCCTTGACTTCTGATCATGACAAACAGGATTAGAAATCCTTTCTCTAAATAACCAGTCAGTACCTTAGTGACAGTCAGACTTGATCCACTGTTCACAAATCCACAGAAAATTAAGGCAGTTCTAAATGCAAAGTCAAGGGAGCAATGTAATTTAATGCCGGTCAGAATGGAATGGCCCCAGGTGCTCTACCTCTGAGCTATGATCCCTCCCCCAGCTGCCCTTAGATGAAGAACTCTATTAGAGATCTCAGTGATTTTCCTTCTTGCTCTCGAAACTGAGGCAGTCAATGCTATCTAATAAGTTCTAATGTCCTGTCAATAATAGAAATCACAGTCAATTGCCAGAATAATTAGAAATATTCAGAGAATAATTCCAGGGCTCACTGCTAATACTGTACCTCATAGGCATGGTCACTAACGCTCTTCTTTTGGTCCCTGCCACTGTGGCATGTTTGCTTTGAAGAAGTCGTCTGCAGGAAGTCAGAAATTCTCTGTACTAGGAAGTCTCGGTCCTTCAGGTTGGCAAAAAGGAAGGTCATTTTGCTTCTGGTGCTGATGGAAAGTGGGCTAGGCAAAATACTGGAGCTGTCTGCTTTCTCAACAATTGTAACCTACAGAATACATAGAGGGATAAATGGAGCATGTCACGTTACTTTACAATAAGATTTAAATTTATAAATAAAATTTTAATTATTTCCTAATTGCTTTTCTAATATCACCAATACATATGATAGCTGATACCATCAAGACATTGTTCTTGTCCTAGGGAGAAAAATATCAGACTGTATGGTGGTGAGAAAAAAAGTCTGTGAATTCTTTAAAATTATTCATACTCCTGCAGTACTGCAACTAACAATATGACCATGGTTTCATGTAAATCTGGTTAATAGTTCCTAGTTAAGCAGGTAACACATAAAATTGTTATTGTACACTGCCCAGAGTCACTTGTGAGAGATGGGCAGCCATATAAATTTGATAAATTAAATAAATACATGAATAAAATGGTGTATTGTATTATGCCTTTACTGAACACACTGAGCCAACATTCACTCCCTTGGTTGGAAAAAGTATGTGAAGCTCTAGTATAGTAAAGGGGGATATGCTCTTTAATGCTCCAAGTGATGAGATAATAATCACATATGAATTTGCTTGTCCCTATAAAACACACATTGTTGCTACCATCTGAGTCTGCTTTTCATGACACAGACTTGTAGAAGTGAATCGTGTTTTGGTAAAGAGATCTCTGTAGATCTCGGACAAGGGCTGTCAGTGCTCTTGAGGTGGAAATGGCCTACAAATCAATTGCCAACGGTCTTATTTTCCATTAATGCATGGTCAGGCAGACACTGTACAAAAGAGGAAATGCAACACTACTGTTACTCATAATACCACAGAGCGGTCATCCAACAAAAATCACTCCAGCAGCCAAATGTACAATACTTTAGGTGTTGGAAAGAACCTCAAGATAACAGCAAAGGATCTGCAGGCCACACTTACAGTGGAACCTTGGGTTACGAACGCTTCTGTTAATGAACTTTTCGGGTTACGACAAGCTCCGGCCGCAAAATTTTGCTTCGGTTTGCAAACTCTGCCTTGGGGTACGAACAGGCTATGCGGTCATTTACCCTCCCATGACACGGTCCGCG